GTTATGTGAACATCGTACAAGATAAAATTCTTTGTGTTCTGTATAATTGATTGACTACTTCAACCTGACACCCTCACTTATGGCTTTTACATATTTCTGATTTGTTCATTCTCAAGAATACATTGCCAGCACTAAGGACAAAGATATGGCTTTAAAAAATACCAAATATGAATCTGTTCAAATTATCTGGAAGGAAACACACATAATACCAAAATCTTAAAAATTCCTGTTACATTGTTAAAATTGAGAAGAGTATTTGAGAACTGTCCTGATAAATTTCTCTAACTTTATAGTGTGGATGGTATCCTGGTTAATTTCTTCATGTTAACATAACTTTATCAATCTTATCAATTTTGCCCTCTCACTGTCATCTTTGCATTGCCTATCACAGGTTATTAATTTATTATGTATTAATTTATAAATATATACATAATTATAAATAAAACTGAAACCTGTATAATTTATCCAGGCAATGGCTCTTTCAAAACTTCTGAATTTTAGTCTTCAAATTTTTTTTGCAATTAGGAATGTTTAAGTGATTGGAAATAAAAGACTATCCTGGTATGACTGTCAGTGATAAATGCTGTAGTTATGGCATACGTTTTGCAATAGGACTGCCAATTTTCATTGTATTAACTATAACCTATTTTAATCTATTTTAATAATGTTAAACATATTTATCAGTTAAGAATCTACATGAAAAAACCTGGATCCTGAGCAAGATGGCCGAACAGGAACAGCTCCAGCCTCCAGCTCCCAGTGCGAGCGACACAGAAGACGGGTGATTTCTGCATGTTCAACTGAGGTACTGGGTTCATCTCACTGGGGAGTGCCGGACAATTGGTGCTGGTCAACCAGCAAGAGCTGAAGCAGGGTGAGGCAACAGCTCACCTGGGAAGCGCAAGGGGGAAGGGAATCCCTTTTCCTAGCCAAGGGAAACTGAGACACACAACACCTGGAAAATCAGGTAACTCCCACCCTAATACTGAGCTTTACCAAGGGTCTTAGCAAACGGCACACCAGGAGATTATATCCCACACCTGGCCCGGAGGGTCCCACACCCACAGAGCCTCCCTCATTGCAAGCACAGCAGTCTGAGATCTAACTGCAAGGTGGCAGCGAGGCTGGGGGAGGGGCGCAAACCATTGCTGAGACTTAAGTAGGTAAACAAAGCTGCTGGGAAGCTCGAACTGGGTGGAGCCCACCACAGCTCAAGGAGGCCTGCCTGCCTCTATAGATTCTACCTCTGGGGACAGAGCATAGCTAAACAAAAAGCAGCAGAAACCTCTGCAGATGTAAATGACCCTGTCTGACAGCTTTGAAGAGAGTAGTGGGTCTCCCAGCACAGAGGTTCAGATCTGAGAACAGACTGACTGCATGCTCAAGTGGGTCCCTGACCCCTGAGTAACCTAACTGGGAGACATCCCCCACTAGGTGCAGACCTACACCTCACACCTCACACGGCTGGGCACACCTCTGAGACGAAGTTTCCAGAGCAAGAGTCAGACAGCAACACTTGCTGTTCAGCAATATTCTATCTTCTGCAGCCTCTGCTGCTGATAACCAGGCAAACAGGGTCTGGAGTGGACCTCAAGCAAACTCCAACAGACCTACAGCTGAGGGTCCTGACTGTTAGAAGGAAAACTAACAAACAGAAAGGACACCCACACCAGAACCCCATCAGTACGTCACCATTATCAAAGACCAAAGGCAGATAAAACCACAAAGATGGGGGAAAAGCAGGGCAGAAAAGCTAGAAATTCAAAAAATCAGAGCACATCTCCCCCTCCAAAGGAACGCAGCTCATCACCAGCAATGGATCAAAGCTGGACGGAGAATGACGAGTTGAGAGAAGAAGGCTTTGGTTGATCAAACTTCTCCGAGCTAAAGGAGGAACTACGTACCCAGCGCAAAGAAACAAAAAATCTTGAAAAAAGAATAGAAGAATGGAAAACTAGAATAATCAATGCAGAGAAGGCCACAAACGAACTGATAGAGATGAAAACCATGACACGAGAATTACGTGACAAATGCACAAGCTTCAGTAACCGACTTGATCAACTGGAAGAAAGAGTATCAATGACTGAAGATCAAATGAATGAAATGAAGCGAGAAGAGAAGTGCAGAGAAAAAAGAGGAAAAAGAAATGAACAAAGCCTCCAAGAAATATGGGATTATGTGAAAACACCAAATCTACATCTGATTGGTGTGCCTGAAAGTGATGGGGAGAACGGAACCAAGTTGGAAAACACTCTGCAGGATATTATCCAGGAGAACTCCCCCAACCTAGCAAGGCAGGCCAACATTCAAATTCAGGAAATGCAGAGAATGCCACAAAGATACTCCTGAAGAAGAGCAACTCCAAGACACATAATTCTCAGATTCACCAAAGTTGAAATGAAGGAAAAAATGTTAAGGGCAGCCAGAGAGAAAGGTTGGGTTACCCACAAAGGGAAGCCCATCAGACTAACAGCAGATCTCTCGGCAGAAACTCTACAAGCCAGAAGAGAGTGGGGGCCAATATTCAACATTCTTAAAGAAAAGAATTTTAAACTGAACAATGAGATCACTTGGACACGGGAAGGGGAACATTACACACCGGGGCCTATTGTGGGGAGGGGAGAGGGGAGGGATGGCATTGGGAGTTATACCTGATGTAAATGATGAGTTGATGGGTGCTGACGAGTTGATGGGTGCAGCACACCAACATGGCACATGTATACATATGTAACAAACCTGCATGTTGTGCACATGTACCCTAGAACTTAAAGTATAATAATAAAAAAATTTTTTTTTAACCTTCAAAGTCTTAAACTAAAAAAAAAAGAATCTACATTAAATAAAATATATTTTATGTTTAAATAATAAAATATATTTTATGTTGTATAAATATATATCTTCTGTATAAATATAAATGTATGTGTTGTTTAAATTATATCTATGTTGTGTGTATATATACAATGTAGATAACTTTACCTTGACATTCTAATACATTACTGAAATAATGGTAACCTAAATATTTCATGATTTGACTATATCTCATTAAAGAAACCACATGGACCTAATTTTCAAGCATTACTCATTCTAGGAACGCTCTACAGAAACAGAGGCATGAGTGCATAAAAACTGGCATATTCTGATTATAAATATATGGATATCTTGCAGTAGCAAAATGTTCATAACCATTATTCTGAACAGAAGAAATGGCTAAGGAAAATGTGGCGTCCTTCACATTCACCAAAAACACTGACACATCTATAGTTTTTGACATAGAGATCTCAAGACCTATAGGACCTCAGGAGATTGTACAACATATATTACTACCAAAATGTCAAATCTAAAGCTCATTTACAATAAAATTAATTGGTTATGATCAATATATCTTATATAGAAAGATTAATGATTGATAGATACTTGTATTAGCATAGAAATTTTTTCCCTAATATAGGGCAGATGATTAAACATATTTCCTCTGGAAAGCATGGGGAAAAGGTTAAAATACATCTGTCATAAATAATTTTATATTCTTCTATATTGCTAAGCTTTCTTAAAATGAAGTGGTTACTCTTGGTAGTAATTTATGGCTGGAGCTCTTTGATCTTAAACTAAAAAAGGGAAAATTAGGGAAGCAGGATTAAAAGTTGAAACACATTTTAGCTTTAGTGTGTCGAGAGCTCAAAAGGTGAAAAGCACTTAAATTTATCAGTTGTGTATTGACTAAGTAATCTCAAAGGAGATCCTTAAGCAAGGAGTTCACCGTTCTGACTTTTGGATTTATACTTTACCCAACTTCATCAACATTTCCCCAAATTCTCAACCGTACAATGCATGTGGGCCTCTATTAAGATGTATGAGAAACTTCTTTGCATGTGTTGTGGAAATAATCATACTAAACCTTAATAACTATATTTGCTTGTATATTCAATTATGTAGCACATAGAATAGAAAAGCATGAAGGTATCCCATTAATTCCCTCTCTGCAAAACAAGAGACATGTTCAAGTGATCTGTCAAAGAAAGTATAAAGAATTGAGTACCAAAATACATGAATATGTAGGGACAATACTGCAATCTTTAAGACTTGAGATTGTTCAGCATGTTTTTATAACAGAGAAAAAAGTGTAAGAGAATTTAAGAATATGCATAGAAAAAACATAAATGTGTTAAAATAAAAATACTTGAGTAACTACTCACGACACGATTTGCTAAAAAGGCCTATGCTAAAGAGAGAACGTACTTGATCTATTATGAGGGCATCGATCAATAAGCACCATGTAATACACAATCTACTTGAGACTTTTTTATGTATTAACCAATATTTTGACTAGTTTGATGAGGTTTTTTTTTACTTTCTATCGAAGAATAATATACATGTAGAAAAGTGCATCCACTAAAATTGTAAAGCTCAATGTATTTGCATGATGCAAACACAGCAAGTACTCAACACACAGATCAAGAAACAAAAATTACACGCATACTAGAAACCACCCAGGTGTCTTATATCTATGATTATCTCAGGCATGCCATCGAGAGAAGAAAATTTCCTATATAACTTACCTTGCTGCAACAACGAGAAAAAGACTAATTCAAGTCAATACTTAATAATTCAATTAGAAGCAGAAATATAATGTAGTATGACCACAAAGATCTTATGAACCATGGAGTCTCTATTCTGAAACCCCAATAATTAAACAGATGAGGAAACTCTGTTAATATTTTGGTACACCTGGATTTCACTACAATAAATTTTGATCCAATATGAAATTGCCAAAAATTCTCTTAAATTCTACATTTTTCCATAAAAGCAGAAGAGAGTTAAAATTAAAACAGAAATGATAGATTCAATAGTGTAGGTGACATGGTGAGGGTCTCAATGAGGAAAAGGACGTATCATCAAAATGTCCTTCAATAAGCTTCTGAAAAGATATACACAACAACCTAAAGACCTAGCAAAAAGCACATGACATATGAATTTCAAAAGATAATGGTTTAGCTACTCACCCCTATTCTCTGAAGTGGAGGATCAGACTCCAGGCCTTCTATCTCAGCAAAACATGAAAGAGAAAAAAAAGCAAACATAATCTTAGAAAATACTCCACAGTAAAAATAACAAAGCACGAAACGTGGTTCCATTGTCATTATTTAATAAAGGCATGCCATATTTCCTTCTTTCAGCATAACACTAATGAGATTTGCAGACATATCACAGTTGCTTGACCCTTAATTCAATCTTCTAAAGTTTTTCATTTGTTACTTAAGAACATCTTTCCTATATGTAAGTATCTATCTACAATTAAAGCAAGTCTTGGGTGACTAAGCATACTAAAGAGCATACTGACTCCTAAGACAGCATGCTACTGCCCTCTCAGGAGATATAGAAAAGGCATGCTCACAGGGGTACTCTGTTGTCACTGAGGGATCCCCAAATAGAGCCAGGCTCTGAGAGTCTTATTTGTCCTATTGGAGGGCTGCACATCTGGACCTCAGATTGACATCTGGAATGAGTCCCTCAGCATCCTCAGACAATTATTCTCATCATCGATCCAAACAAGCGCCCTCCCAACAAATAAGCATTTCCACAGCCAGGCTTATTTTGTGCATGGTTATCTAATGCATCATCAGTGAGAACAGTAAATGTACAGTAGACATTTGTTTAGTATCTGAATGATGGAACTCTCATATACATAGCATGAAAAAACATATGACTGAATTGTTCCAATAAAATTAGATTAAAATCTGGCCAGGCACGGTGGCTCATGCCTGTAATCCCAGGACTTTGAGAGGCCAAGGCGGGTGGTCACAAGGTCAGGAGTTCAAGACCAGCCTGGCCAAGATGGTGAAACCCCGTCTCTACTGAAATACAAAAATTAGCTGCGTGCGGTGGCACCCACCTGTAATCCCAGCTACTCAGGAGGCTGAGGCAGGAGAACTGCTTGAACCCAGGAGGCGGAGGTTGCAGCGAGCTAAAATCATGCCACTGCACTCTAGCCTGGGCAACAGAGCGAGACTATGTCTCAAAAAAAAAAAAAATCTATTGGGGAACTTTATAAAAACTCTTTAATCAACTAAAAGTTTAAGGAGTGAGGTAGCAGAATAAATATATGGTATTATTACGGTACTAATATGTATAGAAACATCTATGTTATGAATATGCTAGATAAAGATTCAAAAAAACAATAGTTAGAACATGTGAATTTCACTACGAGATTATTTTCACCCAACATGAATAGTGAAAAAAGGAAATATATCAGTGATTCTCCACCATTGTTTAGGTCATTTCAAAAAGAGATTTAAAGAGAAGAGACAATAATGAGGAATCCTTGAGCAAGGTAGGGACACCCCTGGGGAAATATATCTACCAAAAGAATAATCTCTTTTCAGCCTCTGAAATAATGAACTCGCAGTCCTTGACGTTCTGAAATCATTGTCCGCAGAACACACAAAGAATTTCAAAACTACCAAAGTGGCTGCTCACCTCTTTTCCCTGAAGTTTCCTTGAAGTTGTTTGATCTTTTAACCTGCAGCAAAATATCACATAGAAAATAAATCAGATCAGAGAATGCTCCTAATTAATAAAAAATAAAGCACAAGATTGGTTCCATTATAATTTCTTATCATACAGGCATCTCAGCACTCTAATCCTTGCTACAAACATCAGCATTGTTTGATCTCATTACCTTTGTCATTTCATTTATAAATTTTCCTCCTTGAATTCTTTACTCTGAAAATAGCCAATTTCCTCTCTACAAGCTATCCAAGCGACACAGCAGTTGTATCTTGAATGGGAAATGCTAAAGTTGTAGTCTACCAATAAAGATTTTATGAAAATACACTGTGATGTGAAAAATGAAAGACACAAGATAGTGGTATTGTGAGATAACTGAAGAGTTCACCAACTGGGCCTGCTCTGAATGTGTTATTCATCCTGTTGCAATAGAATAGATGGCCATTCATTCAGCCACACCTCAGCATCTCAGATACTTGTGCTTATCCTTGATTCAGACAAGTCTACTACCAATAAGTAAACACTCCTCACACCACACTGAGGCTCCTAACAATGTATCTTCTACATTCAGCTTATAGCAAAAAACAGCTCAGGCGGATGTCTGACCTGACTTTAGTGAAACTGGCTTTCACGACAACTCCAGAAGCTTCTCAGAACCCTTTGGTCTAAGCAAAATGTGAAGTGATATTGCAGTGGGATGGCTGTCAATGCTGATATATTTACTTAATATGATAAAAATAAAATGTCAGGAGTTAACTATGAAGATTATATCATTTAAAAGATTATTAATGTATGTTAGGATCCATTTGACAGCAGCATACAACATGATATTCCTTCCATGTGACAGGTGTATATTCCCTATCCAGGGTAGAAGACTAGCATACAAATGTCACTAATATTGTGACGAAGTAGAAATAAGACAACTAAACACAGGAGGAGGAAAGAAAAAGGAAAACCAAAAGCACTCATGGGTACCCTCCCATGTACCCAGCATGCACTGTTCAGCCACATATACCCACCCACCCTCCTGAAGGCCCAGCACAGACAGCATTGTGTTTAAATCCCTGATCTACCATAAAGCTCATGTTGCAAGAGCAGTAGGGGAGTGTTAAAGAACATCCCCCAAACTCATAAATCAGAAGTAAAAGATTAACTAGGAAAACACAGAACTAGCAGAATGAAGAGAGGTACAAAAGTAAACACTCCAACAAAAATAACAACTCTCCTAAGTATGAATAAATAAATAAATAGGCAAGCAAAGACTACACCGTGACCAAAGAGCACAGCAAATATAAAGAAAACACAAACACAATAAACATCAGTCATAGCTACACACACACACACACACATGTGTGAGTGGACTCCACACACCTACTAGAAGAAAAATATTTTCAGCAGGCTCACAAAATAAAACGTAATATGATTTCTATGAGAGATGCATCTAAAACAAATGGATTCTACAAGACTGAAAATAAAGGGATGGGTGAAAGTATATCAGGCACATGAAAACAAAAAGAGATCAGGAGTAGTGATTCTTATATCACACAATGTATTCAAGTCCCACAATGTTAACCAAGGCAAAGAAGAACACATTTTTTATGCTAAAAGATATAATACACATGAAGATTTGACCCTTATGGAGACTTATATACCAAATAACATAATAACCACCTTTATGAATAAAAAAACTGCATGAGATGTATGAGATGTAAGGAGACAAGACATAGAAGGTCCTATAATAGAAAACGATAATACACTATTATCAGAAAAAGACAGATCAAGTGGGCAGAAATAGCAACATAAAAATAGGGTAGATTTTATGGCTATATGTTAAACTTGACTGATAATGGAAGATATGTATTGTTCTTAAGTGCCCAAGGCATAGTCACAAAAAACTGATTGTATATTAGGTTGGAAAGAAAAATTAGTAACTCAAGAAATATTAAAAATATCACAATGCAAAAAAAATAGACTTTATTAGCAATAACATAAAGGCTCTTTCACCAAGAAATTTTAAAAATATCCTATCTATTAACTCCTGATTAAAAGGAAAAATATAAACAGAAAATACATATGTTTAAATAATATGTAAATACATATTTTTATACATATCTTTGTATGCAGATATGTATTTACATATTATTTTAAATTATACAACAAATGAGAATCTGTAATATGCATTTAAAGGCAGTTCTAGAGGAAAATTCATTGCACTAAACTTTTTGTTATTTTTAAAAATGAAAAAGGTGAATGAAAGAATTCAATTTTCATCTTAAAACACTAAAAAAGAGCAAAAATGAAAGTATAAGAAAGAAATAAGGATCAAAACAGAAATTAATGAAGATAATATGTTAAAAACCATAGATGTAATTAATAATTGAGAAGTCTGTGGTTTTAAAAAATATTAACTACATAGGCACTCTACTAGCTAACTTTATCAAAAAAGGGAGAAAATACACATACACAAAATAATACTTCATGAGCACTTGAACGTAATGTGCATTCTGCTATTGCTGGGTGTCGTGGTCTACATACGCCAGGGGAGTCAAGTTGGTTAATAGTGTTCTTACATCCACCCTTACTGATTATCTTATCCATGTTCAATCACGTACTGAGAAACCACTGAAATTTCAAACTGTCATTGGGAATGGTCAAATGTTTCGTTGCATTTCAAAAGCCTATGTTGGAAATGTAACCCTCAATGCAACGGTGTTTAATGAGGCAACAGTTAAAAGGTGATTAGGCTGTGAGAGCTCTGCCCTCATCAATGGATTAATGCTGTTATTTCAGGAGTGGGTTCCTATAAAGAAGATATTTGTCTCATCCATACCGTCTCTTTGCCCTTCTGTCATAGGATGACACAGCTAGAAGGCCCTCACCATATGCCAGCCCCTTGATCTTTCCAGCCTCCCGAAATGTGAGCCAATAAATTTCCACTCATTACAAATACCCAGTCTGCAGCATTCTGTTACATCAGAGCAAAAGGGACTGACACAGAAAACTGGTAACATAAATGCAGTATCTTTTGTATCTAGATATCCAGTTGTCCTAGCAACATTTGTTGAAAAAACTGTTCTTTCCCATCACAGAGAGGACAATGTCCAGATAACATGCCTTCTTGGGGTGCAGGAATCATACAGTCCAAAAGCCGGTGTAGGAATCCAGGATGCTAAAGCCCCTATTTCAATATGAGGGAAGTCTAGGTCTCATGCTGTGTGAATCAAAAGCATTGTTCAAATCTTGTTGACTAAAAGTAACTGGTCAAGTAAACAGCAATATCCATAGTGATCTGGGAAGACGCCATTCAGCCTAACTCAAGAATGGGCAGATCAACTTGGTATTTTTCAGGATCTGAGTCTCTGATAAGGATGAAATGAGATAGAACACTTAACCACTGATTTTAAAGATTTTAGAAAGGTTAGAAATCTTTTGTAAACTAGCACAGTGATCAAATACATCATAGAAAAAAAAGCTGGATTTTATTCGGGGCAAAGGGATATTAAACCTGGAGATATTATACAGCCTGGGAATCTCTGCCTTTTAATTTAATTTACTCTATTCACATGTAATTTTATTATTGACATAGTTGAGTTTATGATGTCATTCTTCTTCTTCTCCTCTATGTCTCATGTGTTTTTGTTCCTCTATTCCTCTTTACTTCTTTCTTTTTCATGAAGTAATTATTTTATAATTTAGCATTTAAACTTCCTTAATAATTTTTTTCACTACATTTTTTGAATTTTTTCAGTGGTTGCTCTAGAGTTTACTGCATATATCTTAACTCACCCAAATAAGTTTCTAATTTACACTAGATTAATTTCAGTCATACACATAAATGTTACACCTGTATAGCCCTATTTCCCTTTTTGCCATCTTTTGTGGTATTATTATAAATATTACATTTACTGATGCTATAAGCCAAGCAAGACATTGTAATAAATATTAATCTACCATCCATACTCATTTCCTTAGTCCTGTATTGCTTTGCATCCACCTATCTTCTTTGGCAAATATATTACACTTTTATATGTAATAGACTCCAAAATACATTATATACATATCATTTTATAGCATTTATTTTAAAATCACTTAATAGAACAATTACATTTCTACTGTCTTTTATATTTATATAATTACCTTTACAAGCATTTTGCTTCTTTATGTTGATTTGAAAAACTACTAGGGTCACTTGCTTTCAGCTTGAAGAACTTAAAGTATTTAGAGAACTCTTTTTAAGGGGGTTTTCACAGCAGTATACTCTCCAACTTTTTTTTTTAATTGAGGGAGTCTTTATTTTGTTTTCATTTTTGAAAGACAGCTTTGAAAGAATTCTTAGATGACAGGTTTTTTTCCTTTGAGCATTTTTAATATGTTATCACTTTGTTTCTGGCCTCCATTGCTTTTGCTGAAGTCAGCTGTTAATCTTCCTGGGGTTCCCTTGTAAGGAACAAATCATTTTTCTCACACTGCTTTCAAGACTTTCTTCTTGTTTTCGACTTTCAGAAATCTTACTGTAATGTTTCCATTTGTCAGTCTTCGCATTTATTCATTGGAATTCATTGAGCTTCCTGGATATGTAGGTTATTGTTTTTCCACAAATATGGGAAGTTTTCAGCCATCGTTTCCTTCAATATTTTTTCTGATCCTTTGTATCTCCCCTGTCTCTCTGGCACTCTCATATGTGTATGCTGGTATGCTTAATGATGTTCCACATTCTCTGAGACTCTCTTTGTTTTTCTTTATTCTTTATGTTCTCTGTTCTTTTGAACATAATCTCTATTGTTCTATCTTCAAGTTTACTTCTTGTTTCTTCTGCCAGTTCAAATCTACTATTGAGCCCTCTAATAAACTTTTAAATTTTAGTTATTGTACTTTTCAACTCCAGAATTTTCATTTGGTTCTTTTTAATAATTTGTATGTTTTTATTGGTATTCACTATTTTGTGTGACACACCTTCCTTTACTTTTTTTTTTTTTTTTTTTGAGACAGACTTTGTCACCCATGCTGGAGTGCAGTGGTGTGATCTCAGCTCACTGCAGCCACTGCCTCCTATGTTCAAGTGATTCTTGTGCCTCAGCCTCCTGAGGCACAAGAAAAATTAGCCTCCACGTCCAGCTAATTTTTCTATTTTTAGTAGAGACAGGGTCTCGCCATGTTGGCCAGGCAGGTCTGGAACTTCAGCCAGTGAACAGTGCTGCTATGAACATTCATGTACATGTGTTCATTTGAACATTTGTATTCAATTCTTTTGAGTGTGTACCTAGGGCTAGTATTGTTGGGTTATATGGTAATTTTATGTATAACTTTTGAGGCACTGCCAAAATGTTTTCCACTAAATCAGGAGGAAAAAATTGATAAGTGGTCTTCTAGAAGCTAATAGAAAGAGGTGAGAGAAACTATATCCCAAATATATTTCTTTAGCTTAAGCTCAAACTAGAATACCCCAGAAAAGATAAAGGCCAGCCAGTCTAGTTTTCATGTCATCTCATGTCATCAAGACAACATAAGGTCTTATTGTTGAAACAAGCCATGGAACCCCACAATCATATATTCACTTTGCCTGAAAACACCTACCAGAATGGCATCCTTAAATCCTGGTTGAAAGTTCACAGGAGACCAAACAGATATCTGGGTGTGTCAGCTGTGCTGGTGTCAACAAGCCAAAGAGTAGTCTTCTTCAATCATCCTTATCTAAGGGGAGGAGGATGAGACAGTAGATCAAGATGACAAATATTACTTCCTGTATGTATGGCTTATGCATGCTATTTCTTAATGAGAGATATGATTAGTACTGGAAAAAATGATCCATTAGATAGGCTATGGGCCATTTATTCATCAAACAGAATAAAGACTAAGTATACAGGTCTCTTGACTTTGGAGAATATCTCAGGTAGTTTAATGCAGAAATAAGTCCTTCAATTGATCACCCTTGTTTACATATTCAAGGAAGCCATATTGATAACAATTGGCATTATAATGTTGCTTGCACTCCATCATATAATGATCATACTGGAGCCAGGTAAAACTCAAATTTTAGAAAACAGACATCATACTACTCATAATTGTATTTAATTTAATGAATGATGGGACATGTATAGATCAGAATTAGAACATGTAGCCATAATGCCATAGTCTTCATGTTGTGAGTCATCACCAATAAACCACAAACATTGTAAAAACATAGCAACCTGACGTATATAAATTAGAAGTTAATATGTTAACTTCTATATTTAGACCAAATGAGTGTCACATCTTACAGATGATACCAATAATCACAACACTTGTCAACATTGTATCAATGCAATTTTAGTAAAAAAGAAAGTTTCCCTCTTGCAGATCCTGTCAAGTATGCTAGTCACTCATTGAGAAGAAGAATGCATAATGATAATCACGTTGCCTGAAGGAATGGCCCTGACTGTCATTCATATAAGTGTCCATAAAGGTCTTATTTACCATTGGCATTATTCACAGCACACACTTTCATCATAACGAAAATGAAGCCAAACGTACTTGGGAGAGAAAAGTCAGGCACCAGGTTGCTCATCAGTTTATCCAATTTCAAGTTTCATGGGCAAACACGTATTATTGAAACTCACATTTTTACCCCAACTGCAAGGACCCTTCAGTCATAAAGATTCATCTATGATCAAAACATATCCTAGCTCTGTTAAAATATGATACTAACATTGCAGAAAACTTTGTCTGTATATTTAGACCACAATAATTGCAGTGCATTGAGCAGACTTCCAATGTATCATATTTCTCAACCTGAAAACAATCAATCGTAGGGAAAAAGTAAGGATTTTCTCATGAAGATTGCATTACATGTGTCAGTCAATCATTGAGAAGAAAACCCTATCATGATACTCATGTTGTCTGAATGAATAAATCTAATTATAGAGCTCAGTCTTCACTAGGTCAGTTACCTATTTGGAATTTTTCAGTCAGCAAAGGCAGCCTCTCACCTCCACTCAATAGAATAGTGCCAGTAGGACTTACCAAATCTTCCAATGAGAGAAAAAGAACAAGGGCCTTAGTGCCAAATATCCAAGCAAATTAGGAATTATAGGAAACTTAACACTTAAAGAATCAGAATTTATAGTTTACTTAGAAGCACACAGATAGAAGTGTGAAAAACAAGTTTCACAGAAAGATTCCATTCCAGAATCCCAAAATAAAATCCCCAATGGAAGGAAACTAAGAAATCCAAACTTCTTGTCTCATGGTTGTTACCTAGGCTGGGCCTCAGCATAATCCATCTGAGCTTAATTTTTACATCATCATTTCTCTTCAAGATAACATCTCATCACTGACACAGCCCATGGCACTCATATGCATATGCACACTTAGATCAAATATGCTTACCAGAGATGGTTTCCTTAAACACTGGTGGTAAAGTGGACTGGATGCCACATTTTCAGTGCCAGGCAGTTGAGTGGTGTCAGTTTCTCCCTGAACAACAGAGTAAAGGGTTTTCTTCCTCCACAGTCTTTTCTGTAAAAGACAAGAGCAGGCTACAGTCAAAGGGTGGGATTACATCTCTTATATGTGCATGACTCCTAATCACTGTTCCTAATTTCTACAAGACTGAGATGTGTGATACTCCAAATATGACCCGTTACTTAAGCTGTGGTAGGCCACTGATTCCCTGGGTACAGTAAGGGCCAAGCACATAGGTATCATGTCTTTTGACAACCTGGTAAGGGATGATTTCCCTGCAGAAATAAAAATTTCTTATCCTCTTCATATCAGTAACAATTGGCGTCATGCATAGTGTATGCCTTTCTTAATACTGAATCTAATGACACCTGAGTGAGACTCAGGATAAGGAAACGAGATTTCAGACTACCCGTATTGTATTCAATTTCAATCAAGGGTAACCTACAGCCGAATATCAAGCCATTCCCTAAAATTGTCAAAAGTCTTTCAGTTGTGAGTAGTGCCTCAATGATCCACAAACATTATAACACCATACACAGCAACCCAAAAAATAAAATAATAGAAATGGATTGTCTATTTGTGCAATCACTAGAGTTGATTGCAATGAATTACTAAATGTCTCATCTTTAAATCAAAGTACGTTCAGGCCAATAAAAAAAGGAGTTTTAATGAGGACCCCATTCGATCAGTCGCTCGTCGGAAAGAATAGATCGCTGCTCACTAATTTTGTATGAACAGGTAAATGTAATCATTCTGAAGGCCAATGTTCAATATTCAAATGGTCCACTTGGAATTTTTTAATTATGAAATACAGAATTCATATATATATAATCCATGTAATGACACACCTCTTGCTGGATGAACATTCTGAAGCACACCATGAGGAAAAAATCAATCAAGATATTATCTCTAATAATGTATGAGTATTAAGAATAAAGACAAGATAAAATAATTTTTAAAGTTCCTTTAGAAATAGATAGAGGCAAATGATGCAAGATTCCCCAAAGGGTTTCTTCCTACCAAGCTCAAAATGGAACACCCCATACCTCCCAAATCTAATGACTTCTCACACCTTCTGGCAAGGATTGGCACTACTTTTGAGCCTCAGCTTAATCCTATTGAGCATGATTTTTGCATTATTATGTCTCCTGAAGATACTCTTTATTCATATATTTACGTTGGCTTGTAAACACTTACCAGAATAGCACCCTTAAACAACGGTTGCAGGGACACAGGATGAGTTAAATTCACTGCAGCATGCCTGTGTGGTAGCACTTGCCTCTGTGGCAACACCAGAGGATGCTCTTCTGAGCAGTCTTTATCTACAGGCATAGGAACGGGACCATACTTCAAAATCAGACATAAATTGTTCCTGTGTGTATGGCTTACACAGGCTATTTCTTAGTGGAGAGATATGGTCCAAACTACCATAAAAAGACATATTACTGAGGCTCTAGACGATTGACTTATCAACATCATAAGGACAAGGCATGCCAGGTTTTTGACACTGAATAATCTGCAATATTATCATATATCATACTACAAAGATGGCAAACAGGACCGAACATATTCCAATAGTATTTTAATACAATATCAGTAAAAAGTGAGCATTTTTTGAAAGAATTCCATCAAGTAGGCCAGTCACTCATTGAAAATAAAAACCCACAGTGAGACCCATGACTCTGAATTTGTGAACCCAGTCATTTCAAAGTCCATATTAGGAATAAGTGTCACCATTTCTAACATGTGTTTTCATTATTCTGAAAATAGTGGGGTCACATGTGTGAAAGGAAAATAAAAACTTGGGACCCCAATTTACTACGCCAAAAGAAAAAAAAATTAAGCTGAAAGCTGAGTCATGCAAGAATTTCCTTTTGTTCTCAAGCAGATAGCTACAGATTAAAGGTTGAAGATCTCCATAGGTAGCTACTCTATGTTCACCTTATCTTATGTACAGTGATGATTTACTGAGTGTGAGATGAATACATTATTGACTATTCCGCTACCTGCTCCTTTTGTCTTGGAACATATGGATTATCATACCCTCCCTTTTTCCCCTCCAGCCCACTTTCCCCTTTAAACACTGAAGCCCTCAAAATCACCTCTGGAGAAAGACATAGACCCCAGACGGTTTCTGTGATTTGGGGTTTATTTCTTCTGAGCGTGTCCTTAACCTTGTCAAAATAACTTCTAAATAACCTTCTAAATCTCAGATACGTTTTGGTTTACACATGATAGGAACTGAAATTTGGGTATGAATTTGGTGATCAAATTACTAAATTTTTAAGTTTCATAGGCAAAGTGCATACTGATTCTCACATTCTCCTCTCCATTACCGTGGTCTCCTCCATTACCATGATCTCCTCCATTACCGTGGTCTCCTCCATTACCGTGGTCTCCTCCATTACCATGGTCTCACAGTTACAGCAAGTTCATCAGTAACTCAAAACAGTGAAACACTGTTAGAGCCCCACAAGAATAATATAGAAAAACATTTTGTTTAGTCATGTATCTACAGCCAAAGATATATTAAATACTGGAGTAGGTAACAGTGAATTTAAAAAAATCTTCAATATTGAATTGTATGAAGTTCAAATAAAAAGTAAAGATTTTGTCATGAGGATTATATCATAAAGGAAAACTCGTATTGAAATTCAGATTACCTGAAAGTGTAAAACTAATTCCCTCAGGTGGGAGTCTTCTGTAGCTCAATGTTCTATGTAGAATATATCTGTCAGTAAAGGACGCTACTGATCTTTTATAATGGAATGGCACATCTCTTGGCAGCATGTCTTACTGAAACACACAATAAGAGAAAAAGCCAAAGAATGAGACCTGAATATACCATAGTATTAGAAATTACAGATCACTGAAACAAAGCTTACAGGCTGAGAATTTTTTGTTCATTTATAGGTATACTGACACAGTTGGGCAAACAAGTTACCCATAAAGATTTTGTTAGTTCAAGTTCAAAAGAAAATTCCCCTTGAAGGAAAATAAGCCGTCACTATTATCTGTTCCAGCACTGTCATCTAGGCAGGCTGAACCTCAGCATAATCCTATTGAGTGTAATTTTAAGTCATTATTTCTCACCAAGACATTAGAAGGTTTCATTATTGATGAAAGACATGGTACTCCCCATGCACACTTGAGAAGGCTTCCCGAAGCTCTGATGCTAGGATGCATTGGTGTCAAGAGCATTTTCATTATAGGACACCTGGGTGCTGTCAACTGTCCCAGTCGCAACAGGCCAAAGAGTGCTCTTCTTCCATATCATCAACTAAGGGGCAGATGTAGAGCAAATGTCAAAGGGAGAACTACATCTCACCTGTGTATATGAGTCATGCATGGTTTCTGTTAATTGAGCAATATTGACAATACTAAAAAAAGACCCATTATAAAGGTTTTAGTCCACTGGTTCACAAAATATAATACGGACAAATCATACAGGTCTCTTGGCTTTGGAGAAGCAATTCAGTGGTTTTATGCAGAAACAAGAACAACCCATTGATAATCGCTTTATATATTCAAGGAAGCTGTATCAGTAACAATTGGCATGGTTTATTGTATATGAACTTTCATAAAATACAGACACTCGGGAAGCCACATGAATCTCAGGATCTAGAAATCAGTTATCAGGGCACATGGAGTTGTACGCATTTACATGCATCTTGGCCAAAATGCCCAGTTTTCATATTGTGAACCCTCATCAAATGTTCCACAAACATCACAAAATGAAATAACATAAATATTATAATAGGTAGAGGTGAAGACCAGGCACAGGGGCTCAAGCCTGTAATCCCAGCACTTTGGGAGGCCGAGGTGGGCAGATCACGAGGTCAGGAGTTCAAAAACAGCCTGACCAACATGTCGAAACCCCATCTCTACTAAAAATACCAAAAAATTAGCCAGGAATGGTAGCACTTGCCTGTAATCCTAGCTACTCAGGAGGCTGAGGCAGGAGAATTGCTTGAACCCATGAGGCAGAGGTTGCAATGAGCCGAGATCATGCCACTGCACTCCAGCCTGGGCAACAGAATGAGACTCCATCTCAAAAACATAATAATAGGTAGAGGTGGATCTATGTCTACTCTTACATGTAGAGGAAAAGAATATTACATTGTCTCATCATTATCTCAGTAAAATTTCAATAAAAAGACATGTTTTAATCACAAGGAAGCCATAAAGAATGTCAAGTCACTTACTGAGGAGTAGAATGTACACTGGGAACTGGGACACATGTTGCCGCTTTGGTGAACCTACTCATCTCAAAGGCCCTTTCAGGACCAACTGGAAGCATTCACAGCCTGTATTTTCATTATACTGAAAATGATGAAGTCACATGATATTTGGGGTTTATATTCAGATACTAGTTTGCCCATCAATTTGTTCAGTTCTCTGTTTCACAGGCAAAGCAAATTACTGATGTTACATATTTGTATCCACTGGCATGATCCTTCTGTTACGAAAAGTTTACCAGTGAGTAAACTGGCCATACCATTATAATATCTTAAAATTTTTAAGGTAAAATAAGAAAAAAATTGGTGTAGTTGTATGTATGTACCCAAGTGAACATTACATGTTAGATTGGGCATTATTAATCAAGTGAAACAGAAAATAAAATGTTCTCAACTTTCAATCCCATCAAATTCAGGTAAAAAGTAAAGATTCTGTCATAGCATCATATCAGATAGGTCAGTCACTCTCTGAGAATAAAATCCATACTGAGATTCAGATTTTTTAAATGAGTAAACATAATAGCCTTAAGAGTGAATCATCACTGGCCCAGCGGTCTATCTTGAATGTATGTGTGATGAAGGCAGTCACTCTGCTTTCATTAATGGGATGATGCATCTCTCGTAACACTGAAAGATACAATGAAAGATATAATGAGAGAAGAAGAACCAAGGAATGAGTTCCAAATGTCTCATACTATTAGGAATTATAAATAATGGAAACAATGCTTAAAGGACGAAAATGTCTTGTTTACCCAGAAATGCATACACAGGGTTTGGCAAAGCAAGTTTGCCACAATGGTGTCGTTTTCTCAAGCTCCAAAATTATTCACCTAAAAGAAACAAGGATTTCTAACTTCTTGTCTCAGGTTTTTCGCTTATGTTAAGTCTCCACATAATCCTATTGAACATAATTTTTATGTCATCTTCCCTGTTGAAGACAATATAACATCTCAATATTGACCCAAGCCAGGGGGTTAATCTATGGAGTCATCTCCCCACAAAGGCAGAATCGTAGATATTAGCATGTTTATCATAGATAGATTAATGTTCTGCAGTGGATTGGAGTTGCTACATATTCAGTGCTGGATACCTGGATGGTATAAATTGCCCTGGGTGCAGCAGGCCAAGTGGTGCTCTTCCTTTGCTCTCATCTGAAAGGAGTAGGCCAGGTGTCAAAAAGGAAAACACTGTTTCACATAGTTACATGGCTCACGCACGGTTTTCCTTAGTGGAGCAAAATAGTCAGTACCCCAGAAATAGCCCGTTATGTAGTCTATAGACCACAGATTCACCAAACACAAGAAGGACAACATATACAGGTTTCTTGACTTTGGAGAATCACTGGTGTGGTGCCATGCAGAGCTGGGATGATGCCACTGCTGATCCCTTCGCTACGTAATTGAGATGGCCATATCAGAAACAATCGCCATGGTCACTTGCCAATTCACACTCATAACATGAAACTTCTAAAGCCACATAAAACTCAGCCTCCAGAAATCAGATATCACGCTGCTCAGAATTGTATTCATTATTTATCATTGCTTTTACTTGCTTACTTTGAATTTAATTTTAATTTTCCCCCTAGCTTCCCAATGGGAAAGATTATTTATTTAGATCTTTGTTCTTTTTAATATACATTCAGTGGTATAAATTTCCCAGTAGGCATTGCCTTTGTTGCATTCCTAAATTTTTGATAAGTTGTGCTTTCAATTCCATTTAGTTTGAAATATTTTAAAAATTTATCTTGAGATTTCTGTGACCTTCAGTTATTTTGGAGTCTGTTGTTTAACCTCCAAGTATTTTCATGTTTTTCAGCTATCTTTTTTTTAGTGATTTTTTTTTTAACTTTCATTTCCTGGTAGTCTGAGAACACACTTCGTATGATTTCTAATCTTTTAAATTTGCTGAGGTGCATTTTCTAGCCCAGAATGTGGTCTATTCTGCTGAATGTTGTGTGTGTGTGAGAAAATGTGTCATCTGCTGTTACTGGGTAAAGTGGTCCATAGATGTCAGTTACATATTGTTGATTGAATTGAGTTTTTGATCATGGTTGATCATGTTATGCCCGTACTGATTTTCTGCTTGCTGGACCTGTCCATTTCTGAGAGAGGGATGTCAATGCCTCCAACTCTAAGAGTGAATTTATCTATTTCTCTTTGCAGTTCCATCAGATTTAGCTTCATGTACTGTGATGCTCTGTTGTTCAGTGTGTACACACTAAGGATTGTTATGTCTTCTTAGAAAACTGATCCCTTTGTCATTAAGGAATGCCCCTTTTGATCTCTGATAATATTCCTTGTTCTAAAGTCGGTTGTGTCTGAAATTAATATGGCTATTTCACTTTATTTTGATTAATGTTAGCATGGGATATCTTTCTCCATTCCTTTACTATGAATATATTTGTGCCTTTATAAAGTGGATTTCCTTACTTTTTCTGTAGAGATGAGGTCTCATTCTGTCAACCAGGCTAGAGTGCAGTGGTGTGATCATAGCTCACTGCAGTCCCAAAATCCTGGGCTCAGGTGACACTCCGCCTCAGCCTCCTAAGGACCACAGGTGCACACCACCATGCCCAGCTATTTAAAATGCATTTCTCACAGACAACATATAGTTGGGTCTTGTTTTTAATCCACTGACAATCTCTGTCTTTTAAGTGCTGTTTAAAGTGATTATTGATATACTTAGATTAACATATTCAGTATTTGTTATTGTTTTCTATTTATCAACCTTGCAATTTGTTACTTTTTTGGTCTTCCACTCTTCTTCTCCTCTCCCTGGTTTTAATTGAGCATTGTATAAGATTCTGCTTTTCCATACAAAAAATTAGCCGGGCGTGGTGGCTCATGCCTATAATCCCAGCTATTCAGGAGGCTGAGGCAGGAGAATCGCTTGAGCCCAGGAGGTGGAGGTTGTGGTGAGCTGAAATTGTGCCATTGCACTCCAGCCTGGGCAACAAGACTGAAACAACATCTCAGGAAAAAAAAAAAAAGGATTCTGCTTTTCTTTTTTTTTCTTTTTTTTTTCCTTTTTTTTGGTAGAGATGGGCTCTTATTTTGTTGCCAGGCTGGACTTGAACTCCGAGGCTCAAGTGATCCTCATGCCTCAGTCTCCCAAAGTGCTGGGATTACAGACATGAGTCACCACATCTGTCCTGATTCTGCTTTTTCTTCTATTAGTATATTGATTATACTGCTTTTTTCAAAATCATTTTTAGTGGCTGTGCTGGATATTACACTATACATTTACAACTAATCCAAGTCCTTTTTCAAATTATACTATCCTACTTCATGGGTTAGTCCAATTAAGAGTGTTTTCTTTCCCTCATGATTTATATAAATATATATTTATTTATTTATTTATTTTATATATTTATTTATTTTATATATATATTTATTTATATATTTATATATTTTAAATACTTTAAGTTCTAGGGTACATGTGCACAATGTGCAGGTTTGTTGCATATGTATACATGAGCCCTGTTGGTGTGCTGCACCCATTAACTCGTCATTTACATTAGGTGTATCTCATAATGCTATCCTTCCCCACTTCCACTGCCCTACAACAGGCCCTGGTGTGTGATGTTCCCCTTCCTGTGTCCAAGTGTTCTCATTGTTCAATTCCCACCTATGAGTGAGAACACGCAGTGTTTGGTTTTCTGTCCTTGTGACAGTTTGCTCAGAATGATGGTTTCTAGCTTCATCCATGTCCCTACAAAGGACATGAACTCATCCTTTTTTATGGCTGCATAGTATTCCATGGTGTATATGTGCCACATTTTCTTAATCCAGTCTATCACTGATGGACATGTGAGTTGGTTCCAAGTCTTTGCTATTGTGAATAGTGCTGCAATAAACATACGTGTGCATGTGTCTTTATAGCAGCATGATTTATAATCCTTTGGGTATATACCCAGTAATGGGATGGCTAGGTCAAATGGTATTTCTAGTTCTAGATCCTTGAGGAATCGCCATACTGTCTTCCACAATGGTTGAACTAATCTACAATCCCATCAACAGTGTAAAAGTGTTCCTATTTCTCCACATCCTCTCCAGCACCTGTTGTTTCCTGACTTTTTAATGATTGCCATTCTAACTGGTGTGAGATGGTACCTCATTGTGGTTTTGATTTGCATTTCTCTGATGGCCAGTGATGATGAGCATTTTTTTCATGTGTCTGTTGGCTGCATAAATATCTTCCTTTGAGAAATGTCTGTTCATATCCTTTGCCCACTTTTTGATGGTATTGTTTGATTTTTTTCTTGTAAATTTGTTTAAATTATTTGTAGATTCTGGATATTAGCCCTTTGTCAGATGGGTAGATTGTAAAACTTTTCTCCCATTCTGTAGGTTGCCTGTTCATTCTGATGGTAGTTTCTTTTGCTGTGCAGAAGTTCTTTAGTTTAATTAGATCCTATCTGTCTATTTTCGCTTTTGGTGCCATTGCTTTTGGTGTTTTAGTCATAAAGTCCTTGCCCATGCCTATGTCCTGAATGGTATTGCCTAGGTTTTCTTCCAGGGTTTTTATGGTTTTAGGTCTAACATTTAAGTCTTTACTCCATCTTGAATTAATTTTTGTCTAAGGTGTAAGGAAGGGATCCAGTTTCAGCTTTCTATATATGGCTAGCCAGTTTTCCCAGCACCATTTATTAAATAGGGAATCCTTTCCCCATTCCTTGTTTTTGTCAGGTTTGCCAAAGATCAGATGATTTTAGATGTGTGGTATTACTTCTGAGGGCTCTGTTCTGTTCCATTGGTCTATATCTCTGTTTTGGTACCAGTACCATGCTGTTTTGGTTACTGTAGCCTTGTAGTATAGTTTGAAGTATGGCAGCATGATGCCTCCCGCTTTGTTCTTTTGGCTTAGGATTGTCTTGGCAATGTGGGCTCTTTTTTGGTTCCATATGAACTTTAAAGTAGTTTTTCCCATTCTGTGAAGAAAGTCATTGGTAGCTTGATGGAGATGGCATTGAATCTATAAATTACCTTGGGCAGTATGGCCATTTTCACAATATTGATTCTTCCTATCCATGAGCATGGAATGTTCTTCCATTTGTTTGTGTCCTCTTTTATTTCGCTGAGCAGTGGTTTGTAGTTCTCCTTGAAGAGGTCCTTCGCATCCCTTGTAAGTTGAATTCCTAGGTATTTTATTCTCTTTGAAGCAACTGTGAATGGGAGTTTACTCATGATTTGGCTCTCTGTTTGTCTGTTATTGGTGTATAGGAATGCTTGTGATTTTTGCACATTGATTTTGTATCCTGAGACTTTGCTGAAGTTGCTTATCAGCTTAAGGAGATTTTGGGCTGAGACGATGGGGTTTTCTAAATATACAATCATGTCATCTGCAAACAGGGACAATTTGACTTCCTCTTTTCCTAATTGAATACCCTTTATTTCTTTCTCTTGCCTGATTGCCCAGGCCAGAACTTCCAACACTATGTTGAATAGGAGTGGTGAGAGAGGGCATCCCTGTCTTGAGCCAGTTTTCAAAGGGAATGCTTCCAGTTTTTGCCCATTCAGTATGATATTGGCTGTGGGTTTGTCATAAATAGGTCTTATTATTTTGAGATACGTCCCTTCAATACCTAGTTTATTGAGAGTTTTTAGCATGAAGTGCTGTTGAATTTTATCGAAGGCCTTTTCTACATCTATTGAGATAATCATGTGGTTTCTGTCTTTGGTTCTGTTTATATGATGGATTACATTTATTGATTTGTGTATGTTGAACCAGCCTTGCATCCCAGGGATGAAGCCAACTTGCTTGTGGTGGATAAGCTGTTTGATGCGCTGCTGGATTCAGTTTGCCAGTATTTTATTGAGGATTTTTGCATCGATGTTCACCAGGAATATTGGTCTAAAATTCTTTTTGTTGTGTCTCCGCCAGGCTTTGGTATCAGGATGATGCTGGCCTCATAAAATGAGTTAGGGAAGATTCCCTCTTTTTCTATTGATTTGAATAGTTTCAGAAGGAATGGTACCAGCTCCTCTTTGTACCTCTGGTAGAATTCGACTGTGAATCTGTCCAGTCCTGGACTTTTTTTGCTTGGTAGGCTATTAATTATTGCCTCAATTTCAGAGCCTGTTATTGGTCTATTCAGGGATTCAAATTCTTCCTGGTTTAGCCTTGGGAGGGTGTATGAGTCCAGGAATTTATCCATTTCTTCTAGATTTTCTAGTGTATTTGCATAGAGGTGTTTATAGTATTCTCTGATGGTAGTTTGTATTTCTGCAGGATTGGCGGTGATATCCCCTTTATCATTTTTTATTGTGTCTATTTGATTCTTCTCTATTTTCTTCTTTATTAGTCTTGCTAGCAGTCTATCAATTTTGTTGATCTTTTCAAAAAAACAGCTCCTGGATTCATTGATTTTTTGAAGGCTTTTTTGTCTCTATCTCCTTCAGTTCTGCTCTGATCTTAGTTATTTCTTGCCTTCTGCTAGCTTTTGAATGTGTTTGCTCTTGCTTCTCTAGTTCTTTTAATTGTGATGTTAGGGTATCAATTTTAGGTCTTTCCTGATTTCTCTTGTGGGCATTTAGTGCTTTAAATGTGTCCCAGAGATTCTGGTATGTTGTGTCTTTGTTCTCATTGGTTTCAAAGAGCATCTTTATTTCTGCCTTCATTTCATTATGTACCTAGTAGTCACTCAGGAGCAGGTTGTTCAGTTTCCATGTAGTTGAGCGGTTTTGAGTGAATTTCTTTCTTTCCCTTTTTTTTTTTTTTTTTTTTTTTTTTGAGATGGAGTCTCGCTCTGTTGCCCAGGCTGGAGTGCAGTGGCACCATCTTGGCTCACTGTAAGCTCCGCCTCCATTCTCCTACCTCAACCTCCTGAGTAGCTGGGACTATAGGCATCTGCCACCACGCCTGGCTAATTTTTTTGTATTTTTAGTAGAGACAGGGTTTCGTTGTGTTAGCCAGGATGATCTCGATCTCCTGACCTCGTGATCCACCCACCTTGGCCTCCCAAAGTGCTGGGATTACAGATATGAGCCACCATGCTCAGCCTGAGTCAGTTTCTTAATGCTGAGTACTAATTTGATTGCACTGTGGTCTGAGAGACAGTTTGTTATAATTTCTGTTCTTTTACATTTGCTGAGGAGTGCTTTACTTCAACCATGTGGTCAATTTTGTAATAAGTGTGATGTGGTGCTGAGAAGAATGTATATTCTGTTGATTTGGGGTGGAGAGTTCTGTAGATGTCTATTAGGTCTGCTTGGTGCAGAGCTGAGTTCAATTCCTGGATATCCTTGTTAACTTTCTGTCTCATTGATCTGTCTAATGGGGTGTTAAAGTCTCCCATTATTATTGTGTGGGAGTCTAAGTCTCTTTGTAGGTCTCTAAGGACTTGCTTTATGAATCTGGGTGCTACTGTATTGGGTGCATATATATTTAGGACAGTTAGCTCTTCCTGTTGAATTGATCACTTTTAGCATTATGTAATAGCCTTCTTTGTTTCTTTTGATCTTTGTTGGTTTAAAGTCTGCTTTTATCAGAGACTAGGATTGCAACCCCTGCTTTTTTGTTGTTGTTGTTTTCTGTTTG